ATTTTACAGTTTTTCTTCGATAAAGGCGAAAACGCAAGCCAGGCGGCTGAAAATGTGAATAGTGTTTATGGTCCTGATATCGTAACAGCCAATTACGCGCAATTTTGGTTTCGTCGATTGCGTTCCGGTAATTTTGATGTCAAAAATGCTTCACGCTCTAGAAGGCCAATTGTCGAAAATGTCGATAAAATAATTAAAATCGTCGAGTCCGACTGTCATGTAAGCACTGTTTCGATTGCCCAGGAGCTAAACATTGCACAAAAAACCGTTTGGAACCACTTGAATAAGGCTGGATACAAAAAGAAGCTCGATGTATGGGTGCCACACGAGTTAACGCAAAAAAACCTCATGGACCGAATTTCCATCTGCGAATCGCTGCTGAATCGCAACAAAATCGACCCATTTCTGCAGCGGATGGTGATAAAAAGTGGGTCACTTACGACAACGTCAAGCGAAAACGGTCGTGGTCAAAACGCGGTGAGCCGGCGCAAACGGTGGCCAAGCCAGGATTGACGGTCAGGAAGGCTTTGCTGTGTGTTTGATGGGATTGGCAGGGAATCATCCACTATGACCTGCTCCCCTACGGCCAAACTCTTAATTTGGACTTGTACTGTCAACAATTGGACCGTCTGAAGGAATCAATCGCCTAGAAGCGGCCAGCATTGGCCAATAGGAGATGAATTGTGTTCCGTCAGGACAACGCCAGGCCACACACATCGATAGTGACTTGCCAGAAGCTCCGGGAGCTTGGTTGGCAGGTTCTTATGCATCCACCTTATAGTCCGGATCTGGCACCAAGTGATTACCACCTGTTCCTGTCTATGGCGAATGATTTTGTTGGTGAAAAATTCGCCTCAAGAGAAGCTTGTGAAAATCGACTGTCCCAGTTTTTTGCCAATAGGGACAAGGGTTTCTATGAAAGAAGCATAATGGAATTACCTTCAAAATGGCAACAAGTTATCGAACAAAACGGTGCGTATTTGACCTAAATCGGATCATTCTTACTATGCTAAATAAAGCTTTCAATTTCATGCAAAAATAATGGATTTCTTTTTACTACACCTTACACACACACACACACACACACACATGTGTGTGTGTGTGTGTATACATTATTAAACTTATTGTACACACATTCATAAAAACAAACAACAATTAATTTGTGTATGGACTATATAGTTATATAGGGTGTCCCGCATAAGACGTGCCAAAAGAAAAATATAAGTAGAACAAATAAAAGTAAACAAAAATTGTAGAGGTCATTTTTCTAACAACCACGTAAAATTTCAAGATATTAATTAATTAATTAATATCTCCAAATTGTACGTGGTTGTTAGGAAAATGACCTCAACAATTTTGGTTCACTTTTATCTGTTCTATTAATTTTTTCTTTTGGCACGTTTTATGCGGGACACCCTGTATAATGGGTACATATGTACATATATGTGTATGTGTGTTTGTGTGTGTGCATGCGTGCGTACGACTATTGTTAAACTTATTGCATGCACATTAATTAAAAAAAAAAATGCAATTCGTTTATGTGCATATGTATGTAAAGAAGAGTTATCACTACAGATATCACATATTAGATCATAAAAAAACAGTATAAGTGAAAAAAAATTGCATATGCAAATGAAAATGCAAATATTTTAGATATATATATATATATATGAAAGAAAAATATTATTAAAGATTAATTATTAAAGATATATATTATTTTATCTTTCTTCTTTTTCTGCCCTTTCTCTTGCACGTCTTAACCAAGTTTTAATGCTTTCCTCGACTTCTTTTCGATTTTCCGCTGCTTTACAATGCAGAGCACTTTCTACAAGTAGAAATAAATAATTTAATATAGACAAATTATATATTTGTAATATAGCTACAGTGATTATATAACCCTTATAGAAATATCATACTATGAATCATTGATAATTACTTATTATCCAGTATTTTTAATACTAAAAATAAGTAATTATCAATGATTCTTAGTATGATATTTCTATAAGGGAAAGCGTTGATAAGAAATAAAAATTTATAAATACAAAGCCATTTTTAGACTAATTTGGACTACAAGGGGACACAACCAAGTGACCTTTCGATTTTAATAAACTTTGGATATGTTAATCGATTATTATTTTAAACAAATATTATCGAAAGTTAAAGATTGAAAACATTATTTCAAATAAAAGCTGTACGGTTTTCAAAGTTCCTTATAATAATGGTAAATATTTTTAAAATTTTTTCGAAAGTTTTATTATGAAATATTCTTGAAAAATTCAACTATTATAAAACATTTTTTCTACCTTTTATATATCAACGATTTTTGCTTCAAAAGAAAATTGTCAATTTTTTCGAAAAGGTATGTCATCTCTTTAATGTGTGATTAAACAATTATAAAAGAATGTATCTTTTATTTTTTTGTCTATATTTCAACATATCCAAAACCTACAAAATTGGGTAAAAACATTGGTTGTTTTCATAGATTTATTTTTGTTAAAAAAAAACATGGTTTTACCAATACTAATGTATAAAGACAATGGTTATAAGACATATAATTATTATGTTATAGTTATCGTATGTAGTTTGTTAAACACTATAATAAGTTTGTTATGTTATTTCTTATAACTGACAATGGCTGCGTTTCGCAAAGACCATATTTATGTATATTTACACATATATTTCATAATGTACAAAATATTGATGAAAAATACGTGTATGTACGCTTTGCGGAAATTGGCCATTGCGATTCAGTCAATTTGTGTACTATTTATGTTTTATATTCAAATTAGATATTTACATAACAATTTACCTTGCAACACACTTGCGAGAAATAGTTTTCCAAACACTTGCTTTTTTTTAGCACCATACCAGGAATATTGTTCAGCTAATCTATTTGAAAAAAGAAGCGATAAACATCATTTTACAAAATCATTTAAAGTAGATCCTCCCATTTTTGAAAGTTCTTTTATCTGAAAAATATTAAAATTATATATAATTAATTATAATTACATTAGTTTTAGAATAACGGATAATTACCAATGGGAACTTATATCAAAGAAAAATATAGAAAACCTACAGTGGATTGAAAATTATTCGTTGTTCAAGATACTGTTCCACTTCGTTCAAATGTTCTATACGTCGCAAAGGAAAATTGAATGTACTTAAAAATGTAGATTCATTCTCATTCGTTTTATCTGCATTATATTTTTGTAAAAATGTAACTTTTAAATCTTCGCAGCATTCTTTTGTTACTTCTCTGAGCAAAAATAATTCTTTGAACACTCTCCGGAATTTTTCATCTTAAAATACAAAAACATTTTAATATAAATACAAGTAAAACTCTTTACAATATAAAAGCTATTAAAATGTATTAAAAGCATTAAATTTAAAGTGTTCAATGCATTCTAATATGTACCATAATTTTTATGTTTAGGGCAGCATGTACAAAGATGAGCATCATCAAATATCTGTTTATCTGTACTTGTGCTGTAACTTGTATTGTATCTATGCATATTCACGCCTATACACATAAAAAAGTTGTTGCAAGTTATTAAATAATATAAGTTTATTAAACAATAATATAATCGCATTCAATATAAAGCTAGTTCCTTATTTCTATATGTAATTTCAAGTATTTTTCAGTTCTTTATATCTATATGTATATTGTTATTTAATTATCAATAAAATGAAATGGTTTGTACGTTTCACATATTATAAATTAATTATAGAACACTACGATAATCTTAAAATAAAAATATTTAAAGATAAATATTTGTGAAGATATTAATGAAAATTAAAAGAATGTAATAAAAAATTGGCTTATTCTACATATATGTTCCCCAGTTCTAGTATTAATTTCAAATATCGTAAACATTTATTTAAATAAAAAATAATGACAAACATGTAAGATACCTTGTTGAGGATATCTTTGTTGTATACTAGAAGTATATTCGACATTTATATTCGATGGCCAGGTACGTTATTATTTGAAGAATCATTATATGTCTCTCCACTCCTTTTCTTCTCTTTTCCAGTTGTACATATTTCTTAAAAAATTAATAAATATTAACACAACGATTCTTTGTATATTATTTAAGTTATATATTGAAATAATAAACATGCATTTACCTAATGGTGTATTGTTTTCCTTATTACACTTTTCGTTTACATAAGATGTAGGTACGTTATTATTACTAAAAGACTCATGTGTTATAACTGAAATATATATTACATACTAAAATAAAACGCAAGTCTATAATTATGTCAGATATATATGTAGACAATTGCAAACAAGTATTAAATTGAATATTTGTGGAAAAAGTACTTTTTTGGATTTGATTCTCTGCAATACATGTGTTTACTTTTGCATTTCTGTAAATCCCTTCTGAAAAATACAAATTATTTCAATAATAATAACATGATATAATCATATAATAATTTGCTTATATATTATAAATGATACATTGAAATAATAGATAAAATCTTACTTGATGTTTGGATTTCCGTGTCAGAATATTCTTGTAAAACTTAAAGATGGTATATATTGTTATACAGGGTGAA